GTTCTGAAGCTGACATACTTTGCGGCATCTGAAGTTGTTACTAGCTTAGTGATTCTTCCGGAAGCATCAGTCTTAATCCTTTGTTGTGCTTAAACAGCGCCTCCCAAATGTTGCCATTTCTGGACTAAAGAGAGTTAAATATTTGAAGTATTCGTCAAATTGATTGCCACTTGCTAGAAAAGTAAAATATTAAGTGATTTCAGAATTATTTCTGACCTCTGCTACTTTTAAAGTGATTTTTTCATGATGTTATTGATAGGTATCAGCTCCAGAGCATCCCACTTCTAACGACACTGTTGCAGGCTTGAAGCAATTGCACAAGACGCTGAACTGGAAGAATTTAGCAAAAGTGAGCTTGAACAGCTTGGCACTGAGCTGCTTGCTGGTTGCCGGAAGGCCCAAAGTGAATATGAATCAACGGTTAAGGAGGAAATAAAGAAACCTGCAGAAGATGGCAAAAAGAAACAGGTTTGAAGCAGTTACTGCGGTCTTTTGGTGATGTAGGAAGAAATTTGCTTTTGCAGAAGCTGAAATTATACTTGAAGCAGAAAAATGCGTGGATTTGAGATGGAGGGAGGGGGAGGGGAGGGGTGGGGGGAACCTGAGTTTGAAAATTAGATAAGCAGGCGCAAAGTTTTGCTAAAAAGGCCTCAGAGTCGCGTTGAAATGGGATTTTGCATTAAATCAAGGGTAGATTCGTCCAGAAGTGTCATTTAATCACTAAACTGCTAGAAATACCCAGATTTTTATTACAAATGAGGCTGAAAATGGCGAAATTTATTTCTTGAGGTAAGATCGGGTACCGTTTTAGGTACAGACAAAGATTTCAGAAATGCCTTCATCAGATGTCGGATACATTACCGGGCATTGCTTCCCTTATTTTTTTGGATTTTTCTGAATTTTCCTCTGCAGCTGTTTGAAAGTGTGGTTGCTTCCATGCCAGAAATTTAGTTGTTCAGTTCAAATTTTCTGGTAGTAAAACAACGAATTCCTCTAAATACTATGCCTCATATGGTGTCAAAACCAACAAAAGGTTGCTCTGTGCTTTAGAACTTGCTGCTTTCTAGGCTCTTCCTGCCTTTCACAGGGGATAAATGCAGTGAAATTTTGTCAAAATTGGTTAAAAAATACTTTTTTTGACAATTTACGCGACGTCAGAAGTTTCC